TATCTATTTGTTTGTATGTTGTTTCCCCCATTCGATTATAAACTCCCTGAGGGCAGGGATTGTTTTTTGCCTCTTTTTGTATCCCCAGAGCTTAGCACAGTACTCGGCACATAGTAGGTGCTTAATAAATGCTTATTGACGGACTAAAGCCCTAGTCTGAAGGCTTATTGATCCTGAGTTCCTGAACGTCTTGCTTCAAGACTGGGGAGCACAGACTCTAGATTCTAGAACATCCTATCAAATTGGAAAGGCTTAGAGTACTGCCTTGATGATGAATGATACACATCTGTTGCCTGAAGACTAGTCTATCTAAGTACAAAGAAGCAAGAAAACGGGCCACCAAGGCATGAATTCATTCACCATGGACGCTCGTGAAACTGTCTACTAAGTAATTGCAATCTGCATTGGTGAAGGGAATAGCCACAGAGCCCATCGGTAATAAGAGAATCCCTAGCCCCCTTTAAGGCTCACCTCAAGCTGCAACTCCAACATGAGGCCTTTCCTGGTCCCCTCAGCTGCTAGTGCCTCTTCACCCCCAGAAATTACCTTTGTGTATACTTTGCATATCTTTACTTTTTATATATTATGTGATGTTCCTGCCAGTAAGAAGTTAATTCTTTGAGGTTGAAGGGGAGGGGAAGAGGGAAGCACCAGCTGGCGCTTCTTGGACTGGACTCTGCCATGCTCCCAGGAAAATTCCTTATCAGGACACTCATCATCTGGTGAGAGTGCATCAGCCGTGGTATTCACACTCCATAGGTATCCTTAGTACTCTCTGTGCCTCTGACTGGAGGGCTGCCAGGTAGAGCAATGAACTCTTCCCAAAGCCTCCATTGAAAGGGGGCTCCCGGACCAGCCTCTCTTCATCACCCACAAGTTTGCACTCCTTGGATCAGCCTCCACAGTGCCTCACCTTCCCTTCTTTCCCAGCCCCTTCTCCTTTTCAACTTCCTCTCACTTGTTGCATCCCCGTTAGATTGTAAACTCTTTGAAGGCAGGAGCTGTCTTCTCTTTCATATGTATATCCCCAGTGTTTAACACAGTGCCTGGCACATAGTAGGGTGCTTAGTAAATGTTTATTGACTGTTTCATTTGTCTTTGTAACCTCCAATGCCTAGTACAATGACTAGCACATAGTAGGTGCTTAATGTTTAGTGATCATTTGTAGTATTTTAAGACTTACAAATATTTTCCTTCTAATAAGTCCCCCATTTTATGGATAAGAAAATTAAAGCACTTGGTCAAGGTCCTACAGCTAGAAACATTTTGAATATGGGGTTCTTGTCTCCCAATCCAAAATACTCTTTCTAGTACACTAGGCTGTCCTTGTGAGTGCCATATTGTATTGACCTAAGTCCTTACCTTACTTCTTTGTTATTACTGTCTTTTTTTTTGCTGCTTTATTTATTTATGTATTTACCTACATTTACATATTTATTTATTTAAATATTCATTTATATTTTATATTTATTCACATATGTACTCACATATATTTATATATTCACTTGCATCCATACATTTATTATATGTTTACACAATCCACACATTTATTTGTTTATATATTTTTGTATTTATATTATATTATTTATATTTATATTATATATACACTATTTTATTTATATTTATATTATATTTACATCTTCACTTCTAAGTAAAGGTAAGGATGTAACACCATTAGTTAATGAGTCAATAATAATTTATTAACTGCTTACTATGTGCCAGGGACTGTGTTAAGCATAGGGGGTATAAAGAAAGGCAGAAATACGGTCCCTGTTCTCCAAGAGCTCGTATTGTAATGAGATAGACAACATACAAATAAGCACGTGTCTACACATTACCTTAGATTTATGGGAGGTAACCTTAGAGTAAGGCACTAGCCATGAAAGGGACCTAGAAAGGCTTCCTGCAGAAGATGGGGGTGTGGGGAAAGGGAGGGAAATAAACATTAATTTAGTATTTACTACGTGCCATACGTGCTAAATGCTTTAGAAATAGTATCCCGTTTAAGCCTCATAACTACCCTGGGGGGAGACGGGAGTAAGTGCTATTATTCCCATTTTATCGCTGAGGAAACTGAGGCAGACACAGGTTAAGTGACCTTCCCACGATCACGTGGCTAGTAAGTGTGTGAGTTTGGATTTGAACTCAGTTCTCCTGACTCCACACCTAGGGCTTCATCTGCTGAGATCAGTTTTGAAGGAGGCCAGGGCAACCCAGAAGAAGATCATTTCAGGGAGGGGGACCAGCCCATAAAAATAGCTAGGGTGGGGAGATGGCGTGCTCTGTGTGAGGAACAGCAACGAGGCCAGTGCTGCTGGATCACAGATTATGTGGAAGGGGGTGCAGATAGAAAGGGGCCGGGTTAGGAAGAGCTTTCGATGCCAACCAGAGGATTTTAATCTAATCAGAGGTATGGAATTCAGACAGGCTTCTTCGGAAGATTTTGCCAAATGGTGTGATGAGACTTTGAGCTTCTTAATTCATCTCTCTCTCCCTCCTCTCTCTCTCTCTCTCTCTCTCTCTCTCTCTCTCTCTCTCTCTCTCTCTCTCTCTCTCTCTTTTCTGGTTTTTATTTCTTGTCATAAGGGGCAGCTAGGTGGCATTACAGATACAATGCCAGGCTTGGAGTCAGAAAGATTCACCTTCCAAAGTTTAAATCTGACCTCAGACACGTACTAGCTGTATGACCTTGGGCAAGTCACTTAACCCTGTTTGCCTCAGTTTCTTCATCTGTAAAAGGAGCTGGAAAAGGAAATGGCAAACCAGTATCTGTGCCAAGGAAACCCCAAATGGGGTCATGAAGAATTGGACACAACTGAATGACAATTTCTTTTATAAATTTCTTTGTAATAAGGATAAGCATCATAAAGTAACCAGTTAACTCTTCTGCCCTGGACACATTTTTCTGCTTGAACTTCTTATGGTATATCTGTTTTTAAAATGCATGAACCTGCTCTTATCTACACTGATTCTTTCCCAGCCTTTTGGATCCCTTGCTCTATTTGTGTTAGAAATGTCAGAGAAAGCTGAGAGGTTTGACTTGAATGGTGGCCACATTCGAGGACACAGTTGAAAGACCAAATCCGCCCTATCAAAAGTCTTTCCCTCTCAGCTCCTGGCCTTGTATTTTGGAAGAGTGGACTGTGATCTTTGCCAGAACCTTTTCCTTCTACCAACCATTTAAAGCATTAAGCCTGAGGTGTGACCATAACATAATGAGACTTGTTTTAAAACAAATATATTGGAACTCTTGTAGTTCATCTCCTTCAAGGTAATCCCTATTTACTTTTTCCACTGATGGGGTCATTAATCAAAACCATGTGGTATCATGTATAAAGAACTACCCTTGATATCTAGGTCATGTGGTCTAACCCATCGTCAACCAAAAATCTAGTCTACTCCCCCTTCCCCCAACAAGGTGCCACCCAACATTTACTTGAAGATATCTACTGAGGACATAATCTACTACTTCCCAAGATGGCCCATTCCACTTCTAAATCTCAAATTATTAGGATTATTTTTCTTCTATCAATCTTATATCTGTCTCTCTGACATTTTTACCCATTCCTATTAGTGGAGCCAAGTGGAGTTAAGGAGAACAAATCTAAACTCTCTTTCCCATTAGAGCCCTTCAGATACTTGGAGATAGCTATCCTTTCCCTCCCATGCTTTGTCTTCCCTCCTCTTCTCCAAGCTAAACATCTCTAGTTGCTTCAGGTGATCCTGATTTGATGTACCCTCTAGGACAGTCCTAGAGTCTAGGTCTTTATCATCCTGGTTTTTCTTCATTAAGATACAAGGAAGGGTCACCAGGTATTAGTTGATCTATTCTTTCTTGTCCTTTCTATTGTTATTCAATTGTTCAGTTATGGCCATCTCTTCATGACCCTGTGGACCTGTCCATGGAGTTTTCTTGGCAAGGATACTGGAGTGGTTTGCTATTTCCTTCTCCAGCTCATTTTACAGATGAAGAAACTGAGGCAAGCAGGGTTAAGTGACTTGCCCAGGGTCACACAGTTAGTAAGTGTCTGAGGCTGGATTTGAACTCAGGTCTTCCTGACTCCAGCCTAGGCACTCTATCCATTGCACTACTTAGCTGCCTATTGCTGTCTTTTCCAGCTCTTCATAAGAAGGACATGATCAATCGCCTTTTTTGGTTCTAGTAATTTAAGCATGTAGTCTTAGGGCTTAGGTGGGAGTTAAGCCAAACTGTAACCGATATGATTCATTCCTCTTATCCTTCATCCAGACAGCCTAATGCATATCTTGTCAATGATATCTGAAGTCTAGTTTTGCAAGGCTTTAATGGAGAAAGCACAAATCAACATCCAGAAACCTGTCTTTTTTTTTAATGAGTTTCAAATACACCGTAACACCAAGTCAAAAGAAATATTAGAATTCAAAACTTGACGACGGTGCCCTTCAGCTCCCTTGCTTGGCTCTGGTCTACAAGGGCATATTTCCATTTTACTGCAAATTGAGTATAAGCAGTTTTACAGACTAGCTGGCAATCTATCTAGAATGCTTTCTTGTTACAAGCCTCCTCGGGTGTGTTCTGAATGAACTTGGGCATTCAGGGGCACAGGCATTTTAAAATACAATTCTAGGGCACGGAGGTGGCAAAATGGATAGAGCACTAGGCCTGGAGTCAGAAAGACCTGAGTTCCAATCCAACCTCAGACACTAGCCATGTGACCATGGGCAAGTCACTTAACCCTGTTTGCCTCAGTTTCCTCACTTGTAAAATGAGCTGGAGAAGGAAGTGGCAAACCACTGCAGTATCTTTGCCAAGAAAATTCCAAAAGGGGTTGGACAAAGAGTCAGACACAACTTAAACAACTGAACAACAGCAAGGTGGATGGGCGTAGCTGTCCCTCTCTGCAATGGGCGATGGCTCTTCCTCACTTGGTGGTTCCCTATATTAGTGAAATCCAAGCCTCAAGCCTTTTCTTTTTGTTTGGTTACTTTATGAATTTACCTTTTTTTCCCCCTTATTCCAGGATCAGATCTTCATGGAGAACATAGGTGCAGTTAAGCAGCTCTGTAAACTAACAAATAACCTCGAGGAAAGGATTGAAGAGCTAGAAATCTGGAGCAAAAAGCTGGCCAGGTTAAAGCGTCTTAGCAGCATGAACTCCACAGCCAGTGGAGGGAGTTCGCTCAGGTATCTTAGGGCTGGGGTAGGAAGACCAATCCCTTATGCTCATATCGGGGGTTCTGATTCCAAGGGGTGTTATGTTGCTACAGGGGGTGGGAAGGATGGGGGATTGACAAAGAATAGCAACACAGTAAAGTGGAATTAAGGCAACACGGTGGCATAGTGGACTGGGCCTGCAGTCAGGAAGACCTGAGTTCAAATCTGGCCTCACATATTCACTAGCCACGTGACCCTAGACAAGTCACTTCACTCTGTTTGCCTCAATTTCCTCATCTGTAAAGTGAGCTGAGAAGGAAAGGGCAAACCACTCCAGTATCTTTGCCCAAAAAACCCTCAGCTGGAGTTGGATACAACTGAAACTCTTGAACAACAGTGGAATGCTTGTTGAACACAGAGTCATATGACTTGAGTGAGAATCCCAGCTCTAATATTTAGTACTAGAAGTGCAGGAGCGGGGAGGGAGGGAAAAAGGAATAAGCATTTATAATCCACCTACTATGTGCTGGACACTTTACAAATTTCATCTTATTTGATCCTCATAACAAGGCGCTATTATTATCCCCATTTTACGGTTGAGGAAACTGAGGCAAACACAGGTCGAGTGACTTGCCCAGGGACACACAGCGAGCATGTGTCCGAGGCTATATTTGAACTCAGGTCTTCCTGACTCCAGGTCCAATACTCTTTCCACAACAATCCAGATTGGTAGTAAGGAGACTGCCAGGGAAGGGAAACTAGAGAGGGAAGACAATATGGTCAAGGACTCCAGGCCCACTTGTACCTCGTTGTCTCAGTTCTCTCTGAGCTGAAGGCAGTTCTGTAAGGCATGAGCTCTTATCTTGGAGTTTGAGAACTTAAAATTTTTTTTTTGAAAACTTCTTTCAATATAATTTTGTTTAGTTGTTTCAGTCATGTCTGACTCTTTGTGACCCTATTTGGGATTTTCTCAGTAGAGAAACTGGGATAGTTTGCCATTTCCTTCTCCAGCTCATTTTATAGATGAGGAAACTGAGGCAAACAGAGTTAAGTGACTTGCCCAGGGTCACACAGCTAGTAAATGTCTGAGCCCAGATTTGAACTCAGGAAGATGAGTCTTCCTCACTCCAGGCCTGGCACTCTACCCACTATGCTACCTGACATAATTAGTTTCCTTTATAATTCTGAGAACTTTATTTCATGCATTTAAAAACATTATTCTGAGAAGGGGAGTCCATGGATTTCACCATCTGCCAAAGGGATCCATGACCCAAAAAAGATTAAGAACCCGTGCTTTAGGTCTTAGCTATTAAGACACAAGCAATCATAGCTTCTGGAGATATTGATGTGACCTTATGCAACACATGATATAACCATTTTCACTAACTGACTTTTAAGAAGTGGTGATTGCTGACATGAGGCAGAGCAGCCATGACACGATGTGGGGCAGAGGGTGACTTCTTTAGTTATTCTGCAATGGCTGTTTCTGTATATATATAATATATATATATATATATAATATATATATATATATATATATATATATATATATGTATATATATATAAATATCTATATATTTAGAAAACTCACATAGAGCTCAATTCTGCAAGGGGAGACTTTGCTTTACAGATTCAGGTGGTGAGTATACATTTCCCCATTATCTGACTCTGGAAGAAATGAAAGGCAAGGTTGAACAGCATTCACTTATTCCTACCCAAATCTCCTTCCATGAAAAACAGCCTTTAATTCTCCGGACTTCTCTAAATTGACTTAGAGATGAAGTCTGTCTCTGAGTCACTAGAAAGTCAGAGTAACAGCTTAGGCGGGGGCCAAGAGGCAACATGGGATATTGGATGGGATACTGGGCCTGGCCTCAGGAAGATCAGGGCATCAATCCTGCCTCAGTTTTTCCTAGCAGTATGATTCCAGGCAAGTCACTTACCTTCTCTGGGTTTCAGTTTCCTCATCTGTAAAATGGAAGTAATACTCCATACCCTTCAAGGTACTTGAAAAGATTAAATGAGATAATATATAAACTCTTTTATAAACCTTACGTTGCTATCAAAGGTAGATACAGTTGTTTACACTATCAACAATGCTAACAGCTGGCATTTATATAATGCTTAAAGGTTTTCAAAGCACTTAAAAATGTTATCTCATTTTATCCTCACAACAACCCTGGGAGGTAGGTGCTATTATTATCACCATTTTACAGATAAAGAAACTGAGGCAGATAGAGGTTACGTGACTTGTTGGGGTTATTCAACAAGTGTCAAAGGCCAGATTTGAACTCGAGTCTTTGTGACTCCAGGTCTAAGATTTTATCCACTTCCAGAAGTATTTGAATAGTAAAGAGTCTTTTCTTTTTCAGCAAATTTAGCCCAACTGTGGGTACTTCTGTGAGGAGAAGGGCTCCTACTAAAACCAACAAGGTAAGTAGAGTTAAAGGAATGATGAATCTATGTGTTCATGTGTTGTAAAAAATCATTTCAGAGAGCATGAAAAAGTAAAAATTTATTTGATTTGGATGACGAGGTTTTCTCCTCCCTTCCTCATCTTGATGACCCAGTTCAACTCTATACTATTCTCCACTCTCAAGTCCTTTACTCTCTTTGTTGTTCAGTTGTTCAATTGTGTCTGACTTTTATCAAGTCAAGGAAACCATTAAGGAGTCTATCACAATAACAAAATCTATAGGAGATACAGGAAAGAAAGATCACTTCTAGCTGGGCTGAACCTCTCTGATGAGAAGGATTCAAGGAAGAGCTGGGGTCTTGAAGTACAAATAGCTCTTATAGAAAGAGGTATCAGGAAAAGGCATTTCCAGTGGCAGGCATGGCATGAGCAAAGACAGGAGATCATCAACGTGTTTGGGGAATAAAAGCTGATTGTTAGACTGGAGTGCAAAGTATGTGTAGGAGAATATAAGGAGTGGTTAGAAAGGTTGATTGGTTCCAAAAGACCTTGAGTGCCAGACTGTAAAGTTTGGACTTTATTCATTAGGTAATAGGTAACCATTGACTTTGGGTTTTTTTTTTCAGGGAAATTTTTGTTGTTGTTCAGTCATTTCAGTCATGTCTTACTCTTTGTGACCCCATTTGGGGTTTTCTTGGCAAAGATATTGAAGTAGTTTGCCATTTCCTTCTACAGCTCACTTTATAGATGAGGAAACTGAGGCAAACAGGGTAAAGTGATTTGTCCAGGGTCACACAGCTAGTAAGTGTATGAAGTTAATTTGAACTCAAGTCTTCCAGACACCAGGCCTGGCTCTCTATCCACTGTGCCACGTAGCTGCCTGGGAAATGACATAATAAAATGACAGTGAAATTGCAAGGAAATAACATGATAAAAATCTGTGCTTTGAAAAATGAATCTGAACTATGTAACAGATTGGAGAGGGAAGAGATTAGACATAAGGGACTACTCAGGAGGCTACTGCAGTTGTCCCAGTAAGATCTAGCAAGAGCCTGAGCTAGGATGGCAGCAGTGGCAAAGGGAACAAAGGAAGGGATGGATGGCAGTGAAAAGGGCATGAAAGAATGCGCAGGACTTGGCCTTTGAGGAGTTACGGATACTGAGGAAAGGTAAGAAGCAAAGGTGCCGCTGAGGTTTTGAAACTGGGCATCTAAGAAGGATGATGGGGGCATTAACCAAAGAAGAATAGTGAAATGAGCATTGGCTCTAGTCTGAGGACTTGGGTTGGAACCCTGTTTCCAAGGCCTACAACTTGTGTGATCTTAGACAAGCCACTTAGCTTTCCTAGGTCCCAGTCTTCTCATTTGTTAAATGAGAGGGTTGGAGCACATGATCTCCGAGGTCCCTTCTAGCCCCAGTTTTATGATCCTACAAAAATAAGGGAGGTGGGGATGAGGAAGCGATTTGGGAAAGAAGGCGATGAGTTTGGTTTCGGATGTGTTTCTACGGTGTCAGTGAAATGTGAGCCTGAAATTTAGAAATCCCTGGATCATGTAATCCCAGAGTGTGAGGAGACCTCAGAGGCAAAAAATACCTGGAACAAATGCCCTCTACAATAGCCCCAGTAAGAAATACAGTTTCTTATTATGATTCAAATATATATGGTTCAGATTTTGATAGATGTGAAATTTGAAGGACAGAGAGTTTAAATGACTTGGCTCAAGATCCCATAGGGGTCACAAATGATGTTCAAACTTGGTCTTCTCATGGCAAATCTAGGGTTATTTCCTCTAATGAGAATGCCCTTAACAGATTGGTGCTGGAAATCTAAACTTGGAAGACATCTGTGTAGAGTGGATAGTTGACTCCATGATAGTCAATGACATCTTCAAAAGAGAGAGTCAGTTTTTATCAGGAAATTTTCTTGTGTGTTAGAGAGATAACCTGTGGAATTGAGTCACCTTGGTGCTCTTGGAAGGCACCACTCATTCACCTATGTGGCAGACTACTGTTTTCTTATCCTTTGGTTCTGGTACCAGTATAGCCTAACTTTTGCTGTCAGAACCAGTAGCAGGTGCTTAATCTTTATAAAAAAGGATGTGGAGGATCAAAGGCCTGCCAACTTTTACCCGTTGGGATTCAACTATGGCTACCAGCTCTACTTATGTCTGACTCAATTAATCTTCATTCAGACACAGCCCTGAGGATCCTCATACATTTTTGAAGACAATTGTGTTAGCCATTTTCTTGCTTTTTTGACTCTCTTTGAACTGATGGTCATTCCCTTAAGTCAGGAAACTAGAAAAGGAAATTCAACCTTGATTTAATTTTCTTCCATTTCTCTCTCCACCCTTGCTACCGTGATACTAAAAGGATATTATCTCCCATACCTTCCAGAGAAGACAAGTATGTCACTGTCCCCTTTAAGCACTCCAGTCCAGCCAAACCAGCCTTTCTGCTCTTTCTTATATATGACATTCTATCTCTCATCTTGATCCCATTGCGTAGACTTCTGCCCTTCATTCCTGGAACACACTCCTTCCTCTTCTCTGCCTCTTACAATCGATAATTTCCTTCAAAGCTCAACTTGCATGTCATTTTCTACATAAAGTCTTTCCAAATTACCCTGCTGTTAGTACCTCCCCCTCAAAAAATTATTTAATTTATATTTAATAAATTTAATTTATTTATGTATTTAATTTAATTTAATGTATTTAATAAATGCTTAAACGTGTTGTTTTCCCCCATGCTATGTAAGCAACTTGAGGCAAGAGCCATTTCATTTTTGTGGTTACATCTTAGCTCCTAACATGGCACCTGACGTTTAGATGACAGTTTGCTTGCTTATAAAGGGCAGAAACCCCTCCATCCATTCAATCTCCTGAATTCTCCACTGATTTAGAATCAAGGATGGTGGGGGGAAAAACTGGATCTTCATGTAAATGGAATAAGTAGATATTTGTTTGTTGTATCAGGGTCTCAAGTATCCAAATCTTTCTCCAACTGAATACTATTGTGTCTGAAACCTCACCATTAGAGAATCTTTTCATTGGATCTAGCAGATATTTTGTTTTTCAAGAATTCTCTATTTTAATCTGTTAAGCAGTGAATGTTAAAATGAATGCCCCATAATTGATTGCAGATATGAGAGCTCAGAAGAGAGCTCACTGGCCTTGGACAGTCTAGGAAGACTCTGTGAGGTAGTGGGGCTTGAGTCCAAAAGTTTCCAAGCCTACCCCACCCTTCTGTCTCTCAGTAAATGATTTCATCTTTTACTTTAATGAGACTGAGACCATTCATTGTTTTCCTTCCTCCACAGTTCCAAAGCTGTCTGTGTCTTAACTCATTTTTCATCTAGTTTTGAAGAATGGGGTAGCCTTCCTACTTGCCAAGACTAACTCCTCCACTTATTTCCTTGATTATCTGTCTTCTCATTCCCTACTGAGTCTTGTTCCAGTCCTCATCCATCCAATCCCTTTCCCTACTTCCTCCTCCTCTCATTGAATATTTACTCTTCCTCTCCCCCGACTACAAATATGCTCAGCTTTCCCATTATGAGAAATGATAGGAAAGACTTAACTCTTCCACCGTCTTAAACCATTGTCTTCTTGTCTCCATTCAACTGCTGCCTCCACTTCCTTGCCACCATTCACTCCTTATCCTGATGAAATCTTATTTCTGAGTCTCTATGGTTTTGCTTCCAAGTCACTCATTACTTCTTAATTGCCAAATCCAGTGATCTTTTCTCTTGCCTTTTCTTGCCTTTTTTTGCAGCATTTGATACTATTGACCATTCTTTTCTCCATAGCCTTGCTCCTTGGTTGCTGGAATTTGACTCTTCCTTGGTTCTTCTCCTCCCTTTCTGATCACTCATCGGTCTCCTTCCCTGATTCCTCTACTGCCTCTCACCCTTTAAGTATGGGCAGGTCTGCAAAAGCTCTATTCTTGGCCCTTTTTACATCTCACTTAAGTCTCTCTGAGTTGGAAATCACATCCACTCCCATGGCGTCTATAGAGATGATTCCCACATCCGCAGGGTGGCACAATGATTATGATGGATTTGCATCAGAAATACCCATGTTCAGATCCTACCTGTGACACTTACTGGCTAAATGGCCAGGGGCAGATCATCCACCCTCCTCACTTATAAAATAGGAGTAATATACATAAAATAGTAACAATCAACAGCCAACCGATGGACCAACTAATCAGTCAATAAACATTAATTAAGCACCTACTATGTGCTAGGCACAGTATAAAGTGCTGGAGATAAAAAACAAAACAAAAGACAGCCCTTTCCTTCAAGGAGCTTACAGTCTAATGGATCATGACTTGGAATCAAACATTTCCACTTCATGTCAATCAACCAACAAACAGTGAGTGGCTTCCTATATGGCTGACACCGTGCTGAACACCAAGCAGACAAATCTAAAAAGCAAAAGCAGACTCTGCCCTCAAGGAGCTTACATTCTAACGTGGATGACAACATCTCTAAATTGCAGAATTGTGTCATTCTTCAATGATTCCCTTTTGCTAAGGATTTTCTTCTTAAGCAATTTTTTTTTGTAGCTTTATTTTTCAGGAATAAACAGGCATGTCCCAACTGGATTTTCCAGATCTTGGTTATTACTCTGATTGCTATCATGGTATTCTGGTAAGAAAACTCCCTCTCTATCATTATTCTTTTTCCACCCTGTCCCTTCTTCTCTCCTCCAGAAACCACTTGAGCGAGAGTTTGATTTTCTGTATTCCCTGGATTGTTTTTTAGGGTAGGTGAGAGAACCCTGTTGAAGCATATATTGAAGGGGGAAAAAAACAGTTGCTTCAGTCCTTAAATGTTGTGTTTCAGGCCTTCTCAAATACACACAGTATCAATGAACAAATACATGAATGCCTATTATATGGCCAGCACCATACAAGGTATTGAGTACGCTTCATTACATGTGCATCAGTATCAAACTTATAGGCAATTCCAAAAATTGTGTAGACGCATAAATATTTTACTAATCTTCAATATTTAATTATAACTAACATTTATATGGGGTAGCTAGGTGGCTTAGTGGGCAGAGTGCAGGGCCTAGAGTCAGGAAGACCTGGGTTCAAATCTGGCCTCAGACACTTACTAGTTGTGTGACTCTGGACAAGTCACTTGACCTCTGTTTGTCTTGATGCCCTGGGGAAGGAAATGGCAAACCACTCCAGTATCTTTGCCAAGAAAAGCTGCTTGTCAGTATGTTCCATGGGATCATGAAGAGTCAGACACTACTGAGCAACACTTATATAGCAGTTACTGTGTGCTAGGTACTGTGCTATCCTCGCAACAACTCTGGGAGGTTATTATTGTCATCATCATCATCATCTTAGTTTTACAGGGAACTGAGGTTAAGTGACTTGCCCAGGGTTACACAGGTGTCTGAGAGACTAGATTTGAACTCAGGTCTTCTCTAGTCGAGGCCCAGAGCTTTAGTCACCACGCCACCTAGGACAGATATGGCTTATGTAGGCATAGTTTTAAAAAGTTGTCCTTAGAACTCAAGAGTAATGTCTTGTACAGTAGTGGAGACCCATTTTTCCCATTAGTTTCATCCTTTTAGTGTAGTACTGCCTGATTTTGTTAATTGATTTTACAGAACAGTAGCGAAGTATAGGAGAAAAGGAATGGGTTAGTTGCAAACTAATGACATTACTCTTTGTATTTTTGATGTTGTTAATGGTAATCACTTGCATTGTTTGCCATGACCCAAGATGACTTTTGCACCAACGGAGTACCATAAGACACATCCTACAGGAAAAGGAAGAGGGTGGGCATGTCGTAAGCTAGGGGATAACAAATAGATAAATTGAGTTGGTGGCCACAGGGCATTAAAAAACAGACATGACTTGGCCAGAAAGAGAAGGCATGGATGGGTGGTGATCGCCACTAGAGAGAAAACCCAGGTTCAGTTAAAGAATTATTGACTGATAAATCCTTCCAGGTGGCAGACATCATGTGAGGTGTTGGGGATAGAGCAACAAAATAAATAGTCGCTGCCCTCAAGAAGCTTATGTTGTTTGGGGGAAAAGAATACATACGCAGATGTTGTTTAGTTGTGTCCAACTCTCTGTGACCCCATTTGGAGTTTTCTTGGCAAAGATACTAGAGTGGTTTGCCATTTCCTTCTCCAGCTCATTTTACGGGTGAGGAAACTGAGGCAGATAGGGTTAAGTGACTTGCCCAGGGTCACATAGCTAGTAAGTGTGTGAGGCTAGATTTGAACTCACTAAGATGAGTCTTCCTGATTCCAGGGCTGGTACTCTATCCACTGTACCACCTAGCCACCCTATGTACATGCAGATATACAAAAATGTATGCACAGCACATACAAAGTCGTTTGAGGGAGGCAGACTTTTCATTATGAAAGTTAACATTGTGTAGTGGAGAGCGTGCTGGATTTGGAGTCAAAGAACCTGGGTTCAAATCTCAGTTTGCCTTCTCACCTACCATCTCTGGGCCTCAGTTTTCTCATCTGCAAAATGTGGGGATTTGACGTCCTTTCCAGCTCTAAACCTATAATACTATGAACCAGTCATTATTCTTGTTAAATAGATGTTATATTGGTTTCAATGGCTGCTGAAGAATGGAAAGTGATATCAGAACCTTAGACATCCTCGTGTCCTGAGGCAAATTTCCAGGTGCCCCATCCTAGTTATGGCTCTGGTCAGAATATTTAACCACCTGTTTTGTCAGAGGCAGCAGCAGCAGCCAGCCCTCTCTCGAATGCTCAGAAAGAAAAGTCTCCTGAGTGTGACCCTTTATACAGTTCGTCCTTAGCAAATCAAATGTGTATGACATGCCTTGTGTCAAATTGCTAAATAATTCTTCTTTTCCCTCTTTTTCCCCAGTGCCTTGACGATAGTCTGTCTTTATATACTTAGTTTACGAGATCGAGACCGGAACCAAAATCTTATTTCTGGGTAAGGAATTCCATTCCTGTTGCTCTTGGGTGATTAGCTGATTCATTGCCTTTGACCATTAAATGTTGTGTTCTTTTTTAGCAATGTAACGAGCTCTCTGCCGTCAGTCTTCCCTCCATTTACCACGCCAGCAGGTATTGTCCTCTACTGCAGGTATTCATTGTTTCAGCCTTCATTGTGGACAACTCAAAGCAGCCTTTCTGGTTAATCTTGGTGTCTTTTCTTCCCTCATCCCCTACCCCCTCTTCTGCAGCACCAAATTCATCTCTCACAACTCCCAAGCCCTTCTTCCTGGATCTCGAAGTCACTTTCTGTGAGATATTGCCTTGTTGTAATACTTATTGTTGTCCTCTGAATGAGGCCAAAAGAGCCCTAAGAAGTTCTATGGGAAAGAAGATTAAGAGGGAGAAGAATATAGACGTTGATCAGTGGCAGTCTCCAGGTAAGGGGCGTTCAGAGAGAAAAGCCTAAGGTTTCTCACATCATTTTATTCTTGCCAAATATCAGTTGGGCGGTTGATGATTTAAGACCCAGGCTGGTGCCCCTGATATGTCAAGTCTTTAGAAAGGACCCCACCTTGGCAGCTAGGCTCAGTGATGGAAGGCTGGACTCGGAGTTGGGAAGACCTGATTTTGGAAACTTAATGGTTAATGACTTAACATTTCCCAGCCTCAGTTTTCTCATCTGTAACATGGAGATAATAATAGCATGTACCTCATAGGTAGGGTTACTGTGCTTTTCAAATTTTAAAGTATTTTCTAAATGCTAGATAATGGTAGCAGTGGCAGAAAAGTAGTAGTAGTAGTGATAGAGGAATAGTAGTAGTAAAAGAGTAGCATATAGTAGTAGTAGTAGTAGTAGTAGTAGTAGTAGTAGTAGAAGAAGAAGAGGAGGAGGAGTAGCAGAAAATTAGAAGTAGTAATAGAGGAATAGAAGTAGTAGTGGTGGTGGTGGTGGTGGTGGTAGAGGGATAGTAATAGTAGAAGAGCAGTAGTAATAGTAGTAGAAGAATAGTAGTAGCAGAAGAATAATAGTAGTAGTAGAGGAATAGTAATAGTAGAAAAGTAGTAGTATTAGTAGTAGAGGAAGAGGAGAGAAATAGTAATAGAAGAGTAGTAGTAGTAGTAGTAGCAATAGTAGTAGTAGTAGAGAGATAGTAGTAGAAGAGTAGTAGTAGTGAGGGGAGGTGCATACCAGGCAAAACTGGGAAGCAGGTAAACTTTTTCTTTGGGGCTTTCACCCTGCGTTTCATCATCCTTTCCTCCCCATTTCAGTACCTTTCTCTCAACCCTACCTCTCAGATCTGTGGCTGTTTTAGGGTTCCTTATGTCAGGAAGAGAGAGAAGTCAAAAATGTGTGGGTGGGAATTAGTTCAATGTGTTGGCCTTCTGTGGAGTATTTACTTTAGAAAAAAGAAATCCTTCAAAGGGATCAATGAAAAGAATGAATCCCTAGTAGTGGAATTTGAAACATCAGTGGCAGGAAGGCTAAATGGGGAGACAGTTTTGGGGAAGCTGGGCCTTGCTAGAGAAGCATCCCTGAAGTCATACCCTATAAGGCCAGTCCCAACGGTCAAGTGCCTCTCAGATAAACAGAACATTTTTCTAGTTTGTAATTCTTCCTATTAAGACACTCGGTCCCACTTCCAAGCTGTTACGAAGGTTGCCAATTCTGTTGCTTTGCTATCTCTCACATCCAATCCCTTCTCCCTGCTGACGCAGCCATGACTCTAGTTCTGAGCACTTAAAAATCTTTACTTTCATTTCTGCTGTACAATACCTAGAAATATGCAATCGATTAGGATAGTAGTTCTGTCCTTAATGGGACAGAGCCAAAAGCTAGCAGTTACCTTTTCCTTGAGGAGTGCCTGGACTTTGGGGTAGGCACAGGTGTGCTGCTGAAGCGACTCTTCCCCTGTTCAAAGTGATTCTAGAATCTACAGAATGTCAGGGTCCTGTGACCACTGATGGAGGCACTCCCGAGAGAATAGTGAAAGGCTCAGAAGATATTGTCAAGGACACAGCTGACAGTGACCTCGTGCCACAGTATCATCCCCTTTCTGGCCTAGCATCATCCCTACCCAGGCTTGTGCTGTATTCAGTCGTCAAGAACTCCATTTGCTTACAGCATAGCCCAATGCAGGAGGTTAGCCCCTGCTTATTTTTTTTGGAGATCAACTAAAATCCCACCTTTTACAACAGACTTTTCCTGGTCTTCTCTCTCTCCCTTTGATGCCTTCCTCCTGAAATTATCTCCTATTTACTCTTTCTATATCTTGTATGAACACAGCTGTTTGCATGATGTCTCCCTCATAAAAGGTTGAGCTCCTTATAATAGCTAACGTTTATAGAGCACCTATTATGATCCAGGCACTTTACTAAGCACTTTGCAATTATTATATTATTTGGTCTTGACAACAACCCTGGGAGGTAGATACTATTATTATCCCCTTTTTACAGGTAAAGAAACGGAAGCAGATAGAGGTTAAGTGACTTGTCCAGGGTCATGTAGCTAATAAGTATCTGAAGCTGGATTTGAACTCTGATCTTCCTCCCTCCAGGCCCAGTACTATGTCCACTTATCACTGCCCTGCCTAGCTGTTTGATGACAGGGACCCTGGTTTTTTTTCCTTTCTCTGTATCCCTGGCACTTAGCACAGTGCCTGGCACACAGTAAGTGCTTAATAAATGCTTGATGACTACCCTAGTGGGAAATGTACAATGGGGGAGGGCACAAATAGAGAGACATATGGCAGGGCATCCAGGGACCTGGACTTCCCCTTCTCTGCCACAAAGAAGTCCCAGCTGGTTCTCTGCTCACCCTTCTTTCAACACACTCAGATCTACAAATTGTTATATAAAGGGTCTATTTAGTGAGTCCTGGCTTAGGGGCCTGGATAGATTCTATTTAATTTATAGCCTCAGAGGCAGTGGAGTATAGTGGTTAGGAATCCAGCCTTTGAGTCTGGAAGATGTGGGTTCAGAGTCTACTTCTTGTACATACTTGGAGGTGTGACCTTGGGCAAATCGTTTAACCTTTAAGTGTCTTTGGCAATTTTTTAAGATTATAAATTGCAAAGCAGCAGCTGATCTTCCTTAGTAGCACTAGAATGCCCTGCACAAATGAAATGATAGTTCCAGATTTAAATACACACACACACACATACAGAGTCACATGCATTCACAGGCACACCCAAAACAACAAAAGAAGGCAGTCTCAGAGTAGGAGGGAGGAGGGTGCCTTCATTATGATGTCTGGCAGCAACTGCTATTTTTGCATTTAGAGCTCAACCACCCTGCCTCCTGGATTATGGGAACCCAGAGGGATTCTCCCTTTGTCATCTTAAAAAGTTTCTTTTGTCTCCAGGCTTGCTTCCAGAGAAACACTCAGAAATAATTTTGGGGAGGTAGGTTTGGGGACTGAGGGCTCCCAGGATTAAGGTTAGCTATCCCAACAGGCTTCTTCTGGATAGGTGTGCTCAAGAGTATCCAGAACTATGACCCTTTCTGACCTCCCACCCCACTTTGGGGGGGCACTGCTTGGGGCTTAAAGAAAAGGACTTCCTTCTCCCTTTCCTGGAGTCTTCCCTCCTCCCTGGATGTCTTGAATTCTAGGGTGGGAAATCATGCAACCACTTCTTTTAATTAAACATTTTTGAGGTTTTAGAGACCATTAAAAGTGGGAGAAATTGGAACAGGATTCCAGGGAGCAAAAAGTTGTTAAAATAAAAAGTAAATGTAAAACAAGCTTATAAATAAATACAATTTCCTGGCTCCAAAAGCATTTTTATGAGCCTGCTTTACTCAGCAGTGATACTGGTCATAAAATAAATGAGGTGAAATCAGCATTTTGATAACCTGACCAGCACAAATCATTACTCTCCCTGTGGGTGCAGATCCTGTTTATGAGTCTGCAGAATAATTTGGAGTATGTTTCTTGATGGTTATTTCACTTTTACTAAAAAAAGAACCTCTCTAAGTAAGATGAGTTGGGTCATTGGAAAGATGACCCTTTGGTATCGAGTATCACCTCTGAAGAACCGGCTAAGTAAAATTTCACTGGAGTTTGGGGGTGGGGAGACTATTGTTTGCTGCTCCCTGCATCAAATGCCTTCTGATTCTCTTACTGAAGAAAGTATCTTCCCCTATGCCCATCTTGCATTGAAACCATCAAGGTTTATAATGTCCTAAGTCTTGCTAAGTTCTTCACAGTCGCATGCTATGACAAAATAACAGTAGTGATAGTTGACCTTTATTTAGCACTCCGAGGTTTACAATGTGTTTTATACCTGATCCCCACAACACCCCAGTGAGATGTAGGTGCTAATTTTCACCATTTTACAAATGAGGAAACTGAGGCCGGGAACAATGAAATGACTTGTCCAGGGTCACATGACTAGAAAGTGTCTGAGGCGGGATTTGAACTCCCATTTTCCTGATTCCAAGTTTAGCTCTCTGTTGCAGAAGATGAAGTAGGAGATAAGTGTTGTTATTCATGATTCTATGCTCACCTCGAGTAGTGTAAGAGGATAGGACCCAGCAGGTAATGAAATGAAATGAAATGTGTGGTAGCACCAACTTTATTGTCTTTTTCAAGAAGATTCCTTTTACTTAGCTTCATAACCTGACCCTCTCCTGTCCAATCATTCCAGTCTTACCCCTTACTAAGTGCCATTTAGTCTTCCGTCCAGTGACACTGGCTTCCTGGAGATTCTACAGAGATGACCCACCATCTCTTGGCTCCGGACATTCTCTCTGGCTGTCCCCCCATGCCTGGAATGCTCTTCCTTCCTCATCTCTGCCTTCTGGCTTCCCTGCCTTTCTTCAAGTCCCAACTATAATCCCTTATGCTATAGGAAACTTCCCCCATCCCCTCTTAATTCTAGTGCCTTTCCTTGGTTAAATATTTCCTATTTATCCTGGATGAAGCTTGTTTGTATATATTTGTTTGCGTGTTGTCTCCACCATCTGATTGTGAGCTCCATGAGGGCAGGCACTTTTTGCCTCTCTTTGCACTCCCCATCCCTGTTCTTAGCACAGTGCCTGGCACTTAGTAGACTGTTAATAAATATTGATTGATTAAAAGTAAAATACTAACTCATCATCGTGAGATGAAGGTTAAATGTACTGACAGTTATTATTTGTAGCCTGTAGATACTGTAATTCTTATCACCTTCTGTCTCCTTTTCTACCGCTAATACTTTAGAAATTCAAGAAACTTTGAGGAAGGAAGGGGTACTAATAACTAGAAAGATTAGGAAAGGCTTTCTGTAGGAGGTGGCATTTATAATAAGAAAAGGGGGCCACTTGGGACTCAAGGATATTTTATGTTTTTATCTACTTAATGGGTTGCCATGGCCGAATAATCTATTGCCTCATGGTCCAACTTCTTTATATTGAGCTAGGATGGTTCTTGGACATCAGACACAGTCTGTCACCAGAC